AGGGCGAATACTTGAAAAAAAAAAAAACTTGCATGTAAGGAAATAAAAAAAGAAAAAAACTTGCAACTTTCCCTGAAAAAAAAAAAAACTTGCAATTTCAGAACCGAGCGTGTACACACTTTTCAACAGCGCACGCGTTCATCACTCACTCGCTTTCGGAGTGCGGGTAGAGAGAGGGAGGGAGGGAGGAAGGCGTGCGCGGTTGAAGAAGCAGACGAGTCTTCTTAATAGTAAGGTGGTAGAGAACGTGAACAGGACACGACAGGCGAGTCTGCTTGAGTACTAAGCAGTGCAGAAAATATTATATATGGGAAGAAGAAGAAGAAGAAGAAGAAAAAGAAGAAGAAGAATCGAAGAAGAAGAAGAAGAAGAAGAAGAAGAAGAAGAAGAAGAAGAAGAGTGAAAAAACAGTGGCGCCATAGACGACGGCTTCTCTCCTACAATCATCCATAGGTCATCCATCATTACTTGTCCGCCAGTGTGCGTTTATCCCCTACCACCCGTGGTTGACGTCAAATCGATAATCGACATTCTATTATTCCAGCGCACATACTCACACTAGAGACTTTCTTTCATCTGCATCTGGCCGTATCCGCGGTCGCATACAGCTAATACAGTCAGATCGTACTTTTCTCAACCCACAATCGCGCATTTTCCCCCGACTCTTTTCCGCCACTCTGCGCTCCCCTCCCGCCTTCCTCAGGCGGGGGGGCTTCTCCCCCGAAATCGCCTTGCGCCGCTTTTCCGCCACCTAACTTTTCGACCGAGTTCCAAAAAAAAAAAAAAAAAAAAAAAAAAAACTTTCCCACCGAGTATCTGAGAATAAAGGGCTGACGGCCTTGCCCCCTCTCGTCTCGTTTATACTGTAAGTAATCACCCATCTACCGGCGTCACCCGAAGAGAACGCCCGGTCATGCTTAAGCAGTCTTGCCGTACTCATGCTTAAGCAGTCTTGCCGGGCTGTCTTTCTATTTCTATTCCATACGGGCGTAGTCACACGCGGGTCGTCCTTTTTTTTTTTTTTTTTTTTTTCCTTACACGCGGGTCATCCTTAGTCTGCTGCATCAACAAGAAGAACAAGACGAAGAAGAAGGAGAGAGAGAGAGAGAGAGAGAGAGAGAGAGAAGGACAAGATAGGCAAGAATGAAAGTAACTCTTTTTTTTTTCTTTTTTTCGGTGAGTAGTGGAGAGAGGCCCTTCCCTGCTTTGCTCAAAGAGGCCCGTGCTTTGGGAGCTTTGCTCAAAGGGGCCCTTCCTTATTAAAGAAAAAAAACACTGCTGCCGTTGTCCTGCAGGGAATAAGCATAAATCAGTTTATGACACGTGTCAGCTGGACATGCAGGACACGTGTAACGTTGTCGACTTTCCCGAATTGAGGAAGAGGAGGTGAGGGAAGGTGAGTAGTTAGTTCTTTTATAGTCGGGATTGGGATTGGGGTTGGGATTGGGAGTGGGAGTGTGGGTTTGGGAGTGGGGTTGGGATTGGGGTTGGGATTGGGGTTGGGATTGGGATTGGGAGTGGGATTGGATCATCAAACCCCGGCCCGCTGTCAGGTATATGCTATGGCACTCGTGCAGGACGTATGCGCTTTATTCGGGGGGAGTGGATTTGAGACGGTCCGAAATGTGAAATAGAGTGAATGAGCGTTATTGAGGATACGATAGTAATACGCATGCTCCCAAAATAAATAGTGAATATTAAATACATAAAATAAATAAATAAATAGATAAAGCAAAGTAAAAATATTAAGAAAAAAAGAATGAAATAAAATACAGTAAATAAATAAATAAGGTTTTAAGTATTACTGTAATAAAAATGAAATAAATAAAAAAATATAATATAATTAAAAAATACGATATAAGTAAAAAAGAAAATAATATGCATGAGAGTACAGCTGAGACGCCTGGACCGATTCAGATACGACAAATTCACTGATGGAGGGGGGGGAAGGGGGGGGATTACCACAGTACGAGTAGCTCTTATTAGCTGTATGCGACCGCGAATACGGCCAGATGCAGTCTCTAGTGTGAGTATGTGTCCTGGAATAAGAGGTTATTATTATTATTATTATTATTTTTTTTATTTTTTTTTTTTGTGGGTTATCGATTATCGATTTGACGTCAACCACGGGTGGTAGGGGATAAACGCACACTGGACTTTCCTGAATGCATCTGAACGCAGATTGCGGTCACATTCGTTCAGCAGCAGATGTCTTAGCGTGGGTTGGGGCATGGTTACGTGACTTTATGCGTTGCATCTGATCGCCAATACGGCCGGATACAGTCAAAAGAGAAAAAGAAAAAAAAAGAAAACAGAAAAAGATCATCGGCTTGCTCATCAGCCTTCACCTAGCCTACTACCTTCTTCCCCCAAATAGAACGTACGGTCATTATTGCTGTATCTGCACTGAAAATTGCCCTAGATACAGGCATAATGACCTTATTACGACGTTCTATTCGGGGGAAGAAGGTATCGTCCTTCGGAACATCCGTTAAAATTGGAACGATTCAAAAAAAATAAAAATAAAAAAATAAAAAATTGGAACGATGTCCTTCGGGACATCCGTTAAAATTGGAACGATACAGAGAGAGAAGATTAGCGTGGCCCCTGCGCACTCAAGGATGACACGCATAAATCGAGAAATGGTCCAAATTAAAAAAAAACAAAAAAAAACAAAACAGAAATGGAACGATACAGAGAAGGGTAATTATTAGCAAAAAAAGAAAAAAAAAAAAGAAAAGAAAAGAAAAAAAAGCAAAATGGCCCCTGCGCTTTCAAGGATGACACCCAATGAATCGAGAAATGGCCTAAGCTAACCTTCTTGGCCCGAATACTACGCGGGCATGGCCTGATTAGGGTTATTGGTCATATCTTCCGGGTTGTTTGTGAGGCATTCCCGGCCTCCTTCCATTTGTAATATAAAAGCTAATGAATCTTCCAAAAAAAAAAGAAAAAAAAAAAGAAAAAAAAAAAAGAAAAAAAAAAAAGAAGAAAAAAGAAAAGAAATGGCCTAACCTAACCTTTTTGCCCTGAATACTACGCGGGCTCATCAAAGAGCGCTAATAGCTATCAGGCTAAATTGACCATGGACCTCTTCCCCCGAATACAACGTACGGTCATTATAGCTGTATTTGGCGCATCTTGCAGTCTAAATACAGCTATAATGACCATGCGTTGTATTCGGGGGAAGAAAGAGGTAGACTGTTTGGGATTTTTCCCAAACTGTTTTGGTAGATTCCCACGCGTTTTTCTTTTCTTTTCTCTCTCTCTCTCTCTTTTTTTTTTTTTTTTTTTTTTTTTTTAATTCCCACACGCTACGCACCCGTTCCCCAGTCTGTTTTCTACTGAGAAAACAACGTCCGAAAAAGTTTTTTTTTTTTCTTTTTTTTCTTTTTCTTTGTGTGTGTGTGTGTGTGTGTGTGTTGCTCAGTGAACCACCTATCAGATATTGAACTCATCAGAACAGATACTACACTTGACTTTTCTCTTTTTTTTTTTTTTTTTTTTTTTTTTTTTTTTTTTTTAACACGACTTTTCTAATGAGTAATGAATGTGTTCCTTAAAATTATAGAAAAAAGAAAAAAAAAGATACTACACTCGATTTCAACTGAGAAAACAACGTTCGACAAAGTTGTGTGCGTAATTAAAAAAAAAAAAAAAAATGAAAAAAACAAACAAACAAAGTTGTGTGCGAATGTCCTCCGTGGGATTAATTACCGTATTTTATATTTAAATTTTAAACCATGAGGTAGGTAGGTAGGGCATGTACTCTCGCTAGACTAGACTTTCTGAGGATGCATCTCAACGGGAATTACGGTCAGATTCACTAGAAAATATTTTAATGTGAGGATAGGCCGTACTCAAGAGGACCTTTTTGAGAAGCTGAATCGGACCACAAATACGGTCAGATTCCGTTGAGAAACTCCTAACGTGAGGAAGTCCTCAGATTTGTCCGCTTTACGTGAACTATGGGTTATCTTACCTGGGGTCCAGTTCGGCCGGGCTGAGTGACCACCATTACTGTGTACTGCGCACGTTAACTTACCTGGGGTCCAGTTCAGCCGGGCTGCATGAGCGTGTTTACACCGACACTATTGTCATCTTCGACAATTACTAAGGAAGAAGTCGTGGCGTGCTGCCACGTAATACGCTTTGGAGGAGAGAGACTTCGCGATGTCAAATACGGACCAACGAGATGGAGGGAATGCCGGCGGAGGTGGGCCGGAGGACCGAAGGCGATATAGGCCCCCTACGTGCTTCGCATGCAGCGAAGCAGGTCACTATGCGAACCAGTGCCCGAATCCGGCTCCGAGATATCATCATCAAGCTCGGCCATCGACTTCAGCGGACTCCAGGGGCTCAAGATCGCCAAGACGNTGCCCGAATCCGGCTCCGAGATATCATCATCAAGCTCGGCCATCGACTTCAGCGGACTCCAGGGGCTCAAGATCGCCAAGACGATATGAACCTCGGAGGAGGAGGGAGTCACCCGAGAGGGACTCGGAGTTGAGGGCGACTGTGATGAAGCTGAGCAAGTCGGTGTCAGTCATGCACGACTTTGTTGAGCAGCAGAACCGGAAGAAAGAGGAGAAGGCGCGAAAGAAGCGGGAGATGAAGGAGGAGGCGGGGCGTGAGGAAGCTGAGAGACTGAAACATGAGGAGAAGGAGGCACGGGCGGCGGAAAAAGCCCGGAAGCGTGCTGAAGAACAAAAGAAGGCTGCCGATGCTGAGAAGGAAAGACGAGCACAGATGAAGAAGGATGTAGATCTTTCAGTTGCAATTAGACTGAGCGAAATGGAGGACAGTTGGTTTCAGAGACTGCATAGCGTGATAGGGCCATTGCACACCACAGACGACAAGAAGGGGAAGAAGAAGGTTATCTACCCCTCCAGTGCAGAGTCCGAAGACGAAAGCGAAGATAGCGATACAAGTGTTACACGAGCTAAGTGAGCGCGCCTCGAGGCTGCAAATCTCTGAAAAGCGCAAAAGGGGACCAGAGGTGGCACTGGAGGACAGTCCCCCTATGGAGAAGCCGCGGAAAAGAACACCAAAACAAGGAGGATTGAAACCGGTAAAATTGACGACCCGATTGACGCGGAAGAAAGCACAAAGACAGTCGGGGACTATGCAGCTGAGGAAGATGCCAGGGCGACCACCGACCGTGAGATCTCCAGTGAAGACGCCGCTGTCAGGACAGAAGACCCCGAAGACCCCGAAGATACCAAGGACGATTCACGGGACCCCGCCGCAAATGCAGCTTTACACTCCGGTTACACGCGGCGCCTTGGAGCGGTTGCGCTACCGGAACAAGATGATTGATGAGTTGAAGTCTCTTGATGCTGTCGAATTGCAGAAGATGTGCAAAAAGGAAGATTGAGTCGATTCTCGATATTGCCGACACGAAGGTATTGGCGAAGTTTGGCAACGCAATGCAGTAGAATGCTGAGGTACATGTTGAGGAGTCAGAACACCCTGGAGATGGATATGAACGTGAGGGTGGATCTGAGGATGTTGCGGCTTGAGGACCTTTGGAGACGCCGAAGCTATGGCAGCTTTGCAAGTACTTGACCGAGTTGAGGAAGGAGAAGTATACCTTTGATCCGAGAGTTGAGGAATTGCTATGTTTGGTTATCCTGAGCCTGGCGCTGGATGGGCGCATCCGCTGGTTGTCGAAAACGGAAACAGTCTCACTTTCATAGATGGATTAGCACTTTCGAAATCGAGAAGTACGTGCTCATCCCAGTTGACATCCTAGAGGGTACCGATTTAGGCAACTTGGAGCATTTGTATATCCAACAATGGGAGAGAAGGTTAACCGACCCCCCATTTTTCAGGTCAATTTATAAGAAAACCATAAGGCCATTTCAAGCAAACTTCACACCAATGTATAGAGTGCACTTCTTACTAACATATTTAAAAAAAAAAAAACAACAACAACAACAACAACAACAACAACAACATAAAACAGCAACCCAAAAGTGCATTTTCAAGCAATTTTGGCATGAAACACGTCATCCAAATTTCAGGATTTTCAGGCCTCCCAACAGCACAAATTCTAATAACCCAAATAATACCAAATTTGGCAGACAACAATGGTCAGCATTTTCTTAACACAGTCGGAATTCAAAAAGCATCTGGGAGCTACGTGGCACCCTAGGCCGCGGCCGCAGGATCCGAGTCCGCGGCCAGGTTCCTAGGCCGCAGGCCCGCGACCGCGCCACGTGCAGGCGGGCGCGCGCCCTCAAAATCCGCGCGCCCCATTGGCCTGCGCACGTCGGCCGCTGCAGGCCTATGCTTAAAAAAAAAAAAAAAAAAATTTGAAAATTTGGGGGGGGGTGATTTTTTATATGTTTAAAAAAATAAAAAATGTGATTGATTGATTGATTGATTGATGATTGATTGATTGATTGATTGATTGATCGATTAAATGATTGATTGATTGATTGATTGATTTTTTTCGATTGATTGATGGATTGATTGATTGATTGATTGATTG